TCCTTCCAATTTTTTTTTAAATGTCCAGTAGCACCTTAGAGACCAAGTAAGTTGTCTTATTCCTCAAAAAGGCAAATTCAGCAGAACAGGGTAATAAATTTAATAACAATTGTCATTATATTTGTAACTGCAGTGCACAAAAAATATTTAACCAGCTGTGCACAAATGAATACTTGCATATCAGAAAATTCTATCTTTTCAAAACTAAGTGGAGAGCTTTGTATATAATAATACTACTCCATCTGGATTGTTACAGCACAGTATAGAATACTAATAGGAGTATCAAAATTCGCTTTATAAGATTCCTTTTTATGCCACATGTAAGGCACCAAGCAAATTTAAATCATGCTAAATGATACACGAACACAAATAAACCTATCACTCCTATCAGAAGATTCTTACCTCACTATTCTGTACCTCATGTTCGGGTGCTGCTTCCTTTTGTACACACTGGGTAGATGGTGTAGCAAATGATGGAGCTGGAGTTATGGGTGAATGGAAGGCATTGATGAGGTGACTCAATGGAACTGTGACCTAGTATAAAAGAAAGTTTATGTGAAAGCACTATCTTTAAAATGACTACGTTAATCTAATCTGAATTTTTACAACAAATATTTTTTCCTATTTTTTTAAAAAAACAACAATGCTTTGGGCATGTTTTCTATAACACAAAGCAACAACTTTTTTAAAAGAATAAACGTATTATTGCAAGGAAATAGTTAATTTCCTTCAGTACCAAGAAACCATGCCCTGCTTATTAGGAGAAACAGCCTCTCGCAAATTTCCTGATATTTACAAAAAGGCAGGGTTCAATGTAATTTAGTATTCTTTCTGTCTAGCTGTGCATTCAGCAGTTCTCAAAGAAGAATCAATTTCTACTGTTTTTGCTTCAGGGCTCATCTCTCATTGGCTTTTCTTCTGATCACAAGAAATTGCTTAAGTGCATAAGCTTCAACAAAACAGAACATACAGTGGTACCTCTAGTTACGGACTCAATCTGTTGCAGGGTGCCATTCGCACCCCGAAAAGTCTGCAACTAGAGAGCTGCTTCTGCGCACGCGAAGTTCAGAGTGCTTCTGCGCATGCGCGCATGGTAAAACCTGGAAATATACACTCCCAGGGTTGCCGTGTTCGTATCCTGAAAACACGCAACCGGAGACTGACGTAACAAGAGGTACGACTGGACTTTGAAAACAACAACACATTTCTTTACATACTACTCTAACTGGAAACTTGACATACCTGTTTGGTGTCCCATCTTGCTTTCAACATTCCCCCAACTCAAGTGCATGATTTAGTGCCCCCCCCAAAGCATTCTACATAGGAATGCAATAAATGTCATCCATGGACAATGTTACATCATACAAAATTCTTCAAAAAGGCAACTACAGTCATACCTTGGGTTACAGACGCTTCAGGTTGTGCACTGTGCCGAACCCGGAAGTACCAGAATGGGTTACATCTGGGTTTTGGCGCTTGCGCAGAAGCACCAAATTGCGATCCGCGCGTGCGCAAATGCGGGGCTGCGCGTTGTGAACGTGCTTCCCACACGGATCACGTTCGCAACCCGAGCGTCCACTGTACAGCATTAGATAGGAAGGGTGCAGATGCTTTTCTGAGATGTTAGGACATTAAACATGACAACGTAACATCAATTTAAACCATATAAAGCATTCACGGACGATTAGCCTAACCAACAGTTCCTAGTCATGACAACTAAACAAAATCTTCTAAATTTTGTTAAACGGATAATAAAATTCTTTATTCTCTACTATACACCAACCCAACTGACCTTTAAACCCAAGACCTGCCTACCAAGAACTTGTGTGTCTAACAATGCTATTAAGGAAAAGTTGAAGTGCTTGGGCTTTTTTAGTTCAGAAAAAAGACAATTAAGCAGGTAGGCTAAAACGAAGATTCATAATTTTATTAGCATTTGATAAAGTTCAATAGTGTTTTTCTAGGAGTAAACAGACTGGAAGAATTGAGCCCCACTATTCCCCCCAAACCTGTTTCAGAAGTTTTATTATTTTGAGGGGGGCCTCCACTGCGGATGTGGAGGGTTGTGTAGGGAAAGGGGTTGAGAGAAGTCTATTTGCATGACATTGAATGTCACCCAGTAAGGTGCATGGATACCATATTTTTCCATCTGTAAGACGCTCCCATGTATAAGACAACCCCAATTATTTGAGCCCCAAATTAAGAAATAAGTATTTTAAACATTCTGTGTATAAGACGACCCCCAATTTTAAACTTAAAAAGTTTGGGAGGAAATATAGTCTTATACACGGGGAAATACAGTAATCTGTCCCTTTTCTAATGAAATTCACAAGCACCAGCGTCCGAACTGGCAAATGGAAATAATACGTCACGGTTTAATTTCCAAAGACATTCTGCGCTGATTACTTTTTTTAAAGGGGAAAGTGATAACATTGAGAACGGCGCCGCGAACCACGGAGATTTTAAACACGGGTGGCTAAGCAGAATCTCCATATTCAGCACCAGCAGAGCCCTGGATATTCGATACTAGGCCAATCCACTGTCCTCCGGAGGCTGTTTGCGGGCTTCGTGAGAGGAAGCTGTCTGTTCGGAAACAGGATCCAGCTGGGCTCTTCTTGTAGGGTCGCGAAACCTCGACTCGCTCCCGAGCAAAGCCGGCGCGAAACCCGCCTCTCTCTAAGTGGCCGGGCAGCCGGCGGCCACTTCTCCTTCCGCCCCAGATCTCTTTCCAGCCGCCGCCGCCGCCGGCGACATCTTGGGCCCGGCTCTCCCAGCAGCCCGAGTAGCTACGCAGAACAATAGCTGCTCCTCCCGGAGAGAGACTCCCCGCCCTCCCCCCGCGAGGCCTTTACCTGAGGCTGCACCGTGGTGGAGAAGGAAAACATCGTCGCCACTTCCGGCCCCGCAGACGGACCGGCCCGCTCTCCGCAGCCTCAGGCCGGGGCCTCGCTTCTCGGCCCTTCCGGGCTCTTCCTGGGCAGGGGGAAAAGGGGAACTCGGAGGCTACTCCGCTCTCATGGAAAATGGCCGCCTCCTGCCGCCGGCACAGCCCGCTACGAACCCGACGCGAACGCTCGTCCACTAGCCCGGATGTGGGCGGCCCAGGAAGAAGTGCTTCCGGGTCACCCGCAGGTCTCTCTCTCTCTCCCCTTTTCTTAGCCAACGTGGAGCGGCGCTTAAGACTCAGCGGGGAGTTTTGAGGGCGGGATGGATGCGCCGTTGGGGTTCCTAGAGCTAGATGCTTTGGGGTGCAGAGGAGCAGCTCGTATTGCATTCGTGTTGCTTGCTAATGCTTTTCCTACCGAGAAACCTCACTAAGGCAACCCAGTTGCACGGCCTGCATTATTATCATCGTTAAAGAGCATAGCAGGAACATAAGAGGGCAGTGTAGCGATTAGGGTGACAGATTAGGACCTGGGAGTCCAAGGTTCAAAACCCATGGGTCACTTACCCTCAGCCTAACCTACCTCACAGGGTTGTTGTGAGGATAAAATGGGGAGGCACGGTGGGTTATAAACGAATGAATGAATGAATAAATAAATAAATAAATATGAAGAGCCTGCCGGATCAGGCCAGAGGCCCATCTAGTCCAGGTCCAGCACCCTGTTCTCACCGTGGCCCAGCCCTATGTGGAAGCTGGGGACTGAACCTGGGGCCTGTATACAAGGTGTATACAAGCTATATACAAGATCATAACATTGAGCTACAGCCCTTCTCCCAAAACCACATTTGGCCTTGAACTCAGTAGCAATTTATAAATGCTAATATTTATATAGACAGATTATATACAAAATGACACACACAGCAACAGATTTATTATGGTACAATCTTTCATTGACCCACAGTTCACTGCATCAAATACATAAAGTGTTATCTTCAACTGACAGGTAAAAGCTGGGGTTAAATGACAACGAAATGCAAAATGTGCATTTTTCAACAACTACATCTGCTTTATTCAGTGCATTTTTCTAAAAAAATGTTTAGGAGTACTCTCATTTTGACTCAAGAAAATCACCATTTTATAGTCCAAATCGGAGAAAATAAAATGCAGGAAATGGACAAAAGTACAAAGATTCACAAAATGTTTAGCCCCTAGAAAATGCATACCCCTAGAAAAAAAGCACTGGCTTCATTCATTTGAGTTGTCACAAAATCTATTTTTTACATTTTATTGACATTTAACCCTACTCTTTACACTTTGTTAAAACATATACAATCACGTAAAAGTTTCCAATAACCCCCCTCCCCCACTCCAGGTTCCTTGACCTTTAATAGGTGCATGACATACAGCAATTGAACTGGTGGTGCTTCATCCATTACAATGGTGATATTAGACACCAATATCCATCTAATTTCTGCCTTTCGCACACCCTTAAAGATAAAGGACTCCTGGACAGTTCTATTCCCCGCCCCACCTCCACCCCATTGTTTTGTTTAGCATGCAGCCTGATGAAGAGTTCAGGAAAACTTGAAAGCTTGCATGATATGATTGTGGTTGTTGGTTCTCTCCGGACAGAGAGATGAGGTGATGATTATTTTACTATTTATATGCCCCAGCCACTCCAGCAAAATATAAAAAACACCGTAAAACACCAAGCATTTAAAACACCCCTTCCTTCAGATGTCCTCTAAAAAGCCATATACTGTAGTTGTTTATCTGTTTGACATCTGATGAAACGAACACGCCCTGTCTCTTGAATATCAGACCAGCAGCCCCGCCCTGTGGTGTTGAAAAGCGACAATATCCTTCGCTTTTCGAAGTCCAACGGGAGGGCGAGAGACGCCGACGCTCAGCCGGAAGTGTTTGCCGAAAACCTCTTAATTCGAGTCTACCTCTACGACTTGGCCGGGTGTCCGGCGTGCGGACCGTTTCCACCCCTTTTTTTTCAGTTGACGTCCGGCGTCATACGCACGCACGCTGGGGGGCGGAGCTTAGCTTTGAATTTGTCGCGGGGCGAAGCTGGAGCTGGGGCCCCGCCGGGTGGGGGGACGGGAGAGGAAGAGAGCGGGCGGCGGAGGAGGAGGAGGAGGGAGGCGAGGATGGGGTCGGTGGAGCCGGCGGCGGCGCCTCCCCAGGACAGCAGCCTGCGTGAGGAGACGGCGCCCGGCTCGTCCCGGGCGAGGCGCGGTGCGGCGCCCCAGCCGCCCTCCATCGAGGACTTCGCCATCGTCAAGCCCATCAGCCGAGGCGCCTTCGGGAAGGTCTACCTGGGCCGCAAAGCGGGGAAGCTGTACGCTGTCAAGGTGAGCGGCCTCCGCGCTGCAGTGCCCACCGGCTTCCTTATGTTATTATTGTTATTACTATTATTATTATGAGGGCCGGATTTAGGTTTGATGAGGCCCTAAGCTACTGAAGGTAATGGGCCCCTTTCTATGTCCAGCTGTCCTTTGTCAACAACAAATTGTCGCTTTTTTGTGTTGAATATATGCTATACCGTGGTACCTCGGGTTACATACGCTTCAGGTTACAGACTCCGCTAACCCAGAAATACTACCTCCGGTTAAGAACTTTGCTTCAGGATGAGAACAGAAATCGTGCTCTGGCAGCACGGCGGCAGCAGGAAGCCGCATTAGCTAAAGTGGCGCTTCAGGTTAAGAACAGTTTCAGGTTAAGAACGGACCTCCAGAAGTAATTAAGTACTTAACCCGAGGTACCACTGTATGGCAATTTATGGACCTAATAGGTATCTAAAGCCATTTGCACATAACAAATAGGACCCTACACAACACAAAACATTGTTGCTGTATGTAGGTTTTATTTTATTTGTTTTTTATCTTATATTTTGGAAATGTACATCCAGGTTTTTTCCTTTAAATTTTTTTGGGCCCCCAAGAGAGTGGGGCCCTAAGCCAGTGTTTCCCAACCTTGGGCCTCCAGCTGTTTTTGGACTACAACTCCCATCATCCCTAGCTAGCAAGACCAGTGGTCAGGGATGATGGGAATTGTAGTTCAAAAACAGCTGGAGGCCCAAGGTTGGGAAACACTGCCCTAAGCTATAGCTTGTTTAGCTTATACCTAAATCCGGCTCTTCTTCTTCTTCTTCTTCTTCTTCTTCTTCTTCTTCTTCTTCTTCTTCTTCTATATTTTTCATCTGTTTGCCATCCGACTGGTGCCTTCCCGCCTCCTCGAGGGTGGAGACCAGAGACAGAGACTTTTCTGTGGTGGCTCCTAGCCAAGGAGGCCCCGCCTACAGGTGTCACATGCTGTCAGTTATGCTCCAGGCCTCCTTCCCCTCTCCCCACAACTATTTCCACAAGCTATTAATAACAGCAAATATACACTTTCTTTCACTTTAGCTAGACACTCATTGGGCTTCAATTGGCTGTTACTGTTTCGGAATGCAATCTTAACTAGGTCCACTCAGAAGGCCTGTTGAATTCAGTAGGGCTTATTCTCAGGTAAGTGAGTTGAGACTAGCCCCTAGGTTTCAGATTTGCTGTATTAGCTTGTATGCCTTTATTTATCAGTAATAGCATTTTCAGTTATTTCTTACTACTTGGTTTGATATGCTAGAAACGTAAGTATCTGTTGAAAGTGTGACATATTGGATAGATGAAAACATTTTAAAAAGCAAACAAACAATGAATTCCTCCCTCTTCTGTTTATCAACCTATTCATGTATTGCTTTACAGGTAGTAAAAAAAGCTGACCTGATCAATAAGAATATGGTCCATCAGGTGCAGGCAGAGAGAGATGCCCTGGCTCTCAGTAAAAGTCCTTTCATTGTGCACTTATACTACTCACTTCAGTCTGCCAACAATGTCTACTTGGTGAGTAAACTACTTACAGTGCCTTAAGGTAGCTTCCAAAATATGCTCCCCAACCAGTTTTAGAGAAGTCTGTCTTCTTTGAAAGGTAGCATTTAAAAACATTTCTAATTTGTTTTTTGTTTTCTGTTCTCTTCTTGACCAACTTTAACCTTTTTTCAGGATAGTCAACTTGGAAAAGAAACAAGCTGTATTAATATCTCTGTATTAAGGCACCATTGATTTGGCCCTTTTAAAAATCCCCATAATTTAATTTCCTTTTCTGCCTATATCATGACTTCTGACATGGCCTCTCTAGAAACTGGCATGCATTCTAGAAAACAGTAATATAAGGAAATCAGGAACTTCACCCACACTCCAAGCATAGAATTATAATAGATGTTATCTCTGATCTAAGAGAACAATGAATGTCTTTTATAGTAACATTTTTCACTGGCAGGTAATGGAGTATCTCATTGGTGGAGATGTTAAATCTCTTCTTCACATATATGGCTATTTTGATGAAGAAATGGCAGTGAAGTATATTTCTGAAGTAGCACTGGCTCTTGATTACCTTCACAGGCATGGGATAATCCACAGGTAAAATTGGTTTTTGATGCCTTTCTTGCTGCATTTCATTCACTTTTAGTTGAGACCAGGGAGACTGCAGGTGTTTAAACAAGGCAGAATTGAATTCCCCTCTTATGTTGCTTTTAATGTCAGTCTAGCTGTTGCCTTTGCAGTTCAACACAGTTCCTCAAGGAATCAAATCTTTCACTTAGCTTGTTCTCCTAATGGTATTTTGTTTTCCAGTAAGTGATATTAACATAAATGCAAAACCTCATCAAAGGAAGAAAAAATCCTATGCATCTGTTGAGGTGTCTTGCTGGAGTTTACACTACCACTTCCTTATTGTTTTTATTTTTTTGTTATTTATTGCATTTATATCATACTTAATGGCAAAAAAAACCCTACTAACATAGGACAAATATTCCCTCCTCTTTTGAAGCACAGGGATTTGTGCCCTTTACATGCAAACTTATTAGACTTATTTCTTATGAAAGCTACTTGGTGCATAGACCTGCTGACCTAGCATGGATGAATGTTCCTTTGATAGCTTTTTGTGGGAAGTGGGGAGTGACCTCTGAAAATAGTGCCCCATGTTACAATAAGCCACCTGCATCTGTGCTGCAATGTTATTTCATTTTCTTTATACCTGCAGAGACCTGAAGCCAGACAATATGCTGATATCTAATGAGGGTCACATTAAGTTGACAGACTTTGGTCTCTCCAGAGTTACTCTGAATAGAGGTGAGACATGTATACACCGCAGCCCATCTCATGCGTACACATGTGTATATGTGTGTGTATCTAAGAGATGATTGGAATTCTCCCAGATATATATTGATGCTTAGCATTAGTTTAGATGTACCAAGATTCATTGTTAACAAGTCTGCCTCGTCACCTGTAGGTGACCAGACAGGGACATTTTTTTTAAGTTGGAGAAGTTCATTTTTTCCCTCCAGGTTGCTTGTGACAACCGCTTCAATCCTATAAACCGGCCTTTCCCAAACCTGAGGCCCTCCATATGTTTTGGACTGCAGATTCCATCATCATTGACCATTGGTCATGCTGGTTGGGACTGATGGGAATGGTCATCCAAAATGCCAGGATGAGGAAAGCTGCTATAAACACTCACTAGCAAGTAGGATTCCTTGAATAGCAGGACTTGCTTCCTCATAAACAAGCATAGGATTGTGCCGTAAGTTAAATGCTGGCACATGTGAAAGTCAAATAGTTTTTCAGGCTGGTGACTCTTACGGAAATATTTGCAAGGTGTAATATAAGCATTTTTGTGCTTTTTCAGTTTAAGTTTTTCCCCCTGTAAAACTTCTTCAGTCTGATTCACATATATTTTTCATCTTCAGTAGCAATCCTGACCTTCCTTAGGTATATGCTTCTGTGTAGATCAAAAGAAGCAATTTCTTCAAGTTATTTTCCAAGAGCCACAGTGTGGGAACTGCTGCCAGCTATATGCAAGACAAGCCTCTTTAACATGCCTATATTTTTTTTCTTATTTAACTGAACATTTGGAGAAGCTTGGAACTCTCCACATTGCCAAAAAACCAACATTGTGAGGAGCTGCTTTTCATTTTACTATGCTCAAGCTTATGGAATTTAATAAAGTAATATTTTGGCTTGCAGTGACCTCTACTGGTAAGTGCAAGTATAAATAGCTAAACAATGTACTAAGATTTATACCATTTGATCAGATAATCCCCAGTGCATCTTACACAGATTATAACAATTCAGTACAGCACAATTAATTCCCTCAGGTGATGGGACATCCAAGGGAGATGTTGGGGATGGAGGAAAGACTTGGATGTAGCGCTGGTTCAAATATAACACTAAGTCAGACCATGGCTTAGCACAAATGCACAAGTCTGAGGGTTCCTAGAGAGGAAATTGTGTGACCACTGTGCTCCTCCCCAGGACCTCTTGCTGATGTACCCCATAAGCTTAAGCCATGGTTTGGCTCAGTGTGCTATCTGAATCTGGGCTTGTGGTTTGTCTCCTCCAGCAGCCAGTGCAGGATTAAGCCCTGTCCTCCCTGCATCAGGGGGTGGATGGGAAAATGGCCTCAAAGCCCAAATCAGACCCCCTGGTGGCCAGAATTTCCCCACCTCTGCTGTAAACCTAAGCCTCTGTTGCAGCTTATGGTTTATCTGGAGCGAGACAAACCATGAGCTAAATGATGCCTTGGCTCGCAGCAGCTCAGTAGCAAGATGACTGAGGGAAGAGTGTTGTAGCTGCAGCATTTTCTCTCCAGGAGCCACATATTCACACTAAACCATTGTTTGACTTAGTGTTATGTACAAACCAGCTCATGATGTTAAATCATTTTCCCAACCTGGTGCTCCTATCACCATTTCTACTGTTCATATGGGGCCTATAGCCAAGTCTAAAGTTAGAGCTAAATGTGCTTCACTGCAATCTAAAAATACTTTTTAAAACCAAATTATAAAGTAGGTCCTAATACTCTTACTCTTTCTTCAGAACTAAATATGATGGATATTCTCACTACACCATCCATGTCTAAACCTATGCAAGACTATTCACGCACTCCTGGACAAGTGTTGTCTCTCATCAGTTCCTTGGGTTTTGTAAGTAGGCAAAATAATTTCCTGTTTCCCAGATGATTAGAACATAGGCAGGTGGCTTATACTTTTGGTCCATAAAGCTCAGTTTTGTCTGCACTGACTGGCAGTTTCAGACAGAATGGTAGGAATTGATCCTGGGACTTCCTGCATGGAAAGCATGTTTCTCAACCTCTGAGCACAACTCTTTTCCTGGTTCTAATAAATTTCCTGAGAAAGTTCTCAATCTTTTGGAGTATTAGACAGTCCCTGAATTTCAGCTGATGTTTCCTTCTCCCTGTAAAGCAGGGATGGGGAGTCTATGGTCCTCCATATGTTGTGGACCCCAACTCCCATCAACCTCAGCTAACATGGCCAATAACCAGGGACAGTGAGAGTTCTTGTCCAGCAACATCTGGAGGGCTACAACTTCCTTGTCCCTGGCATAAAGCATGTTACAAGAACCTTTTGTTGCAAAGATCCAGTTACATCAAGTGTGTATAGGATATGAAATAATAAAATGTTATGGACTGTCTTGTATCTGGTTGTTTGTGTATCTGTTGAACAAGCTTCTCTCATTTTGACAGTATACCCCAGTGGCAGGGACAGTACATGCACCTAGTCCAAGCCCTCTTTGTGGAAATACATCTCGGCTTTCTCAGCGATTTGTTTCCCCGCTATCCGTGAACCACAAAGACTACAGTTCTGTGTCAAACAAGCTACTGAAAGCATGTAAGTATAAAAGAGTTTCCTATCTTCATGTGTCTAAATACTTTCTTGTGAATGCCCTTGCCATCAGAGATGTGGCAGGTGGTGGTTGGGGGAAGGGCCTTCTTGGTGGTGGTGACCCATTTTTGGAACATAGGCCATGGAACATATTGTGGTCTCCTTCCAGCTCCAGGTTCTTTTAACTTTTAATTTATTCATTATCATTTATGCTGCTTTTTGTACAGCTTTGAGATTTGTATGTGGCGGTGCTTTGTAGGTGTTTATTATTAATACAGGCAACTCCCAATTTATGTAGGGGTTATGTGCATTTAAGTGAAATTGTGTATACCTGTATTTGAAACACCATTGAGAAAGCCTGCAAACACCCCATTCTGCCTCTACCCTACCCCGTTCTGCCCCCTGTGGCGTTTGCCTCCTAGGATCATAAGGGTCATAAGGAAAGGGTTAAAATAGGTGTGATGTGATTGGTTTGGGAGTTGAGAGTTGAGGTTTGGGAGTTGAAGAAGGAAGAGGGAGGTTTAGGTGTGGGTTGGTAGAGTTGTATTGTGAGAGAGTGAGAGGAATTGGTAGGTAGAGTCAGATAGATAGTTGGAATAATCAGTTTGGAGTTGTTAGGAACTAAGAATAAGAAACTGACAAGAGAAAAATTAACTGAAACCATAAGCTTGTTCCTGCATTTAAAAATAAACTTGATTATTTGTTTATGTTAACAACTGACTGGACTCCGTGTGTCCCCGTGAGATACAGGGTACAGGAAAAAGCAATCACAGTGGCGGCACAGGGTCAATAGACTGTCAAACGTCCGGGGGCCCTGTGTGTGATCGCCACACCCCCTTTTGTGACACTTCCAGGTTCAGTGTGGTGTGCACGCATGTGGTCATGCACATATTGGACATGCCTAAAATGGTCACTGCCTGTATACGGTATTTCTGTATTGCAAGCTGCCCAGAAAGGTTTCTGGTGGCTGAACCCAAAGAAATTCAGATATACAGAACTAGGGTTCACACTGTTTTATTGAAATAGTCTTTAAACTTTTGAGATTTGGGGCTTGTCTTAGCCTCAGCCTTCAACAGAGAAACCAAATTGCTGTGATGTGAATGCAGTTTTATTCTCCAGGATAGATGGGTGGGCATTCTAGCTGCCTTGACTGCCTTGTTTTCTTTTCTCTTTCATATTATTTATTGAGATGGTTTCTTTCCTTCAGATAAGTGGCTAATCTTGGTGCCAGGGTAATGTAGCGACCAAGTGTAGCAACCACATTCACACCCTCCCCACCGGGCAGAACTCCATATTGCACACGAATCCCATTTTCCCCTTTTTGTCTTTTGACTGCATTTATATTACTGCTTTTTATAGCTTGATTGTATTTTATAATAATTGAAATAAGACCTTGCTTCATTGCCACTTGCATAATGTACTTCTATTGTATTATTCATATTGAATGTCGCAGTAAGAATAATTATCAAGAATTCTTCTGGACTTGTGAGCGGGGTGGGTGTGGGACCTGTAAGGCAGGGCAAGCTGATAGTTACATACTTTTTCTAGTCTTCCCTCACTGTTGAGCTGATTTGCCGTGAAACTGGCTACAGTGCTTTTTGTGTCTTCATAAAAACATGAATTGCTATTTCTGAAGGTTTAGATTCTTCAGCTATAACACCAGGAATGCCTGTGAGGAGTCTGACCCCAACTCTGCATCAGTGCAGGAAAAGGTTTGGGACCTCCAGCGCCAGTAGCCATTCCCGCACCCAATTATCCAGCATGGAGTCAGAGTGCTGCAGCAGCCCCAGGTGGGAAAAAGACGTGCAGGTCAGGACGACTTCTTTTCTTTCTGATGGTTTCTTTTTTTTCTTCCTCTAAATAAATAATTCAGAATCTACCCTGTGAGGAGGGCATTGTACCACATTCCAAAGCCTAAAAAAGTTAACCTCCCAGAAGGGCAGTCCTTAAACCTTCTATCTTCTTGGGCTTTTCAGTACAGGTACAAGCAGATTCCAAGGTAGGCATATAGTAATCCTAGGGCTCACAGAACCTCCTCCTGTTCTCCTTCTTTCAAACATGCTGCTGTGTAAAGAAACACAAGCCCCGAACTAGGAGAAACCTTGTGGGTTTGAACACAAGGTCTCTTGGGGCAACAAATCAAGTTCTGCTTTCACATAGGGTCTAAATAGAAAGACTATGGTGCTCCTGTAAGAATGAAGAAACCTTAGATCAGCCCTTGATTTTACGATGCATAGGAGATTTGGGGTAAGGGGAAGAGGAGTATCGCCAGAAAAGGCACCTAGGACTTCTTTGCTGTACGATTACACAGCTCTTTTTTCAAGTGTAATGTATGTGCAGCAGAGTGCATTGTTCATAAAGTGTTTTATTCCAACTGTTAAGCGTTCAGTATGGTGGATATGATTTTGGCTGGGAAAATGCAAACTAGAAACCACCATGATTAAGGACTGCCCCTTTCTATACAAACCTTCTTGGGCACTCGGGTCTGTAATGAGGGCCCAGTTCTATTCTCTCTCCTGCCCCCTTCCACCCCAGAAGCTATCTGAAGTATGATGGATGTATCACAAAGCAAAGCCTTCTCAGTCTTGGTGTCTAGATTTTCATCCTAGAGAAACCTGCTCACCTTTTGGCAAGCAGCCAAGACCAAACCCTTTCTGCAAGCACTTGAATTGGAGGGAAACAGTTTTGTGTTGCTGTTGTATTCCTTTTAATTGTGTATGGTTTTTGTTTTAATCTACTGCAAATTTAATATACAGTATGTTGTTAAGCTGCCCTGGGACAGGGGGTCTCGACTAAAAGGAGGAATAGGGAATAGTGTAATAAGTTTGTATAATTTATTAATTCGTTTAAGCATTTTCATACATTTGGAAGTACTTGATTTTCAGGAAGCAGAAGATATACTCTCATCTGCCCCAGGCAAAGAGAATGTACCAGAGAAGGCCAAGGATACAAATTTTCTGCTTGTCAGTGATGCTAAAGGCTTAAAGCAGAAAACACTGGAGTCTGTCATCTCCCCTATTAGTAGCAATGACTCTGGGAACAGGCGCAAAGGACGGATTGGACATTTTGACTCATGTGATATTTCTATAAGGACTAGCGCTATTAAAGACCTCGGCCGAAAATGTCTTTCAGAATATAAAGAATGGGAAGAAAAGGGCTGTACAGAACAACCTGCTCTGACTAAAAAGGTTGCAAAATCTAGTTACCACTTGTCCCTTTTGGGAGATAAGGAGACAGTGTTGGAGATGCGAGGTGTCAAAAGATCTTTTGAATCAATTGACACCAGCCCTTCACAAGAACGGATCCTTGCCAAAAAAAGCAATTCAGAATACAAACGGGGCTGTAAAATTCCAGAGAAACAAAGCACAGGTTTAACAACTGAAATCTGTTCTTTAAAACTTGATGGACACCTGCAAGAGACCTGTACAAATGAAGCTCAAGCAAAAGATTGCTGTTGCACTGAACAAAACAGGGGTTGCAAACCAGCCAATCCTCTAATAGCAAAGAATCTCATGCGTGATCTAGATGCAGATTGTGAAAAAAATGAGAAAAAGGAACACATGAATTCCAGTTTCTTATCCATTGATGATGAAAAGCCTTTAGCAAGCATGAGTGTAGACTCGGATCTGTCCCTTCGAGAAGTATCTACTGCAGAGAGTCACTTGGAAAAGCGCCTTTCCGATTTCGATGGAAGCATTAAAGATCTCACCTTTGAGGAGCTAAAAACAGAGGACATGTCAACAACATCACCTTATTGCTCAGGTGCCTTGCCAAGAAGTGAAGAAGTACATGCTGTCCAGGAGAGCAAACCATTGTATCATGAGCAGGACAAAAACCTGAAAGGTGTCACTGAAATGCACACTGACAATAACTGCTCTTCATCTGTGGAGATGAAGGCACTGAAACTCTTAAAGAAAAATGTGGTTGCTTTTCGGAGTTACAACAGTCAGATCAGTGTGTCTAATACATCTGAGCCTTCGAGAATTAGCTGGATGACTGTAGAAGGAATGGATATCTCTGCTTGCAGTGGCTCTTATCCCATGACTGTTACACCTGCACAAAAGGGAGCACCTTACAACGTATTTCAGGTAGGTACGAAACAGGCTTATTGAACATTGTGCAGTATCAAAGGGCCACTTGATACAAGTCAAATGCCCTTATTGAAGGGACAGAGTTAGAGCTGCCTTTTCAGTTACCGTATTTTTCGCTCTATAAGATACACTTTTTTCCTCCAAAAAAGTAAGGGGAAATGTGTGTGCGTCTTATGGAGCGAATGCAGGCTGCGCAGCTATCGCTGAAGCCAGCAGAGGAAGAGGGAGAGCCCTTACGGAGCCCCTTCCGTCCCTCATCCTGCTTCGCTGGGAAGCCAGCAGACCAAGAGGTGCTGCACAGCTCTCCCTCTTGCTCTGCTGGGTTCAGCAGAGCAGCGCAGCATCAGCGAAGCAGGAGGAGGAGGAGGAAAGGAAGGGGCTCCGTAAGGGCTCCCTTCCTTTCCTCCTCCTCCCGTTTCACTGAAGAGTGTCGCTTCGTCTCGCCTGCCTCCTCCACTTCCCCCAGCAGGGACAATGCTGCTAGGTGGCCAGCAGATCCAGCTTCCCCAAAGGGGCGGACGGACCGCAAGCTCCTTAGCCTGATCCTCCCTCCTCCTCCCTCTTCCAACAACATTTGATTCATAATGGTGTATTTGAACATAATACTTGATTATAAGGCAAGTAACCAAAGTGATTTAGAAAAAATTAACTCCCCCCCAATACTTTGCAATATGAAAATATTGAGAAAAATGGATACATCACTGGTGATATTTCTTGGCAGAAGGAACAGGCTCTAGCCGTTCCACATCTAACTCATTCCTACACAGATTTAGAAGTTGTGAGTACCTTGTATGTACTTTGGTGAAAATGTGTATGACCACACCATGGGGAATTTACTGCCAGTCAATGGGCGCCACTTATGTGTTGAAATAGGTTTTGTGTATTACAGTATAATTTCCTGCGCAGGGAAGTCATTATGTGTGAAATGGTTGTAGGCTTTGTGGGAGGTTCTGAAGGAAGCAGTTAACTTGAAGAAGAGGGTACACATTTCTTCTTTTCATTTGGTGACAGTTTAGTTGAATGTAGATTCCATTTACACAAATGACAAATCAGTGGGTGCAACTAAGCAAAGTCCTCTTCTTACGTATGAACACACGACGAGGCTTTCCGATCTTAAATGGGCTAACTCAGCTTTATACAGTGGTACCTCGGGTTACAGACGCTTTAGGTTACAGACTCCACTAACCCAGAAATAGTATCTCAGGTTAAGAACTTTGCTTCAGGATGAGAACAAATCACGTGGCGCAGTGGGAGGCCCCATTAGCTAAAGTGGTACCTCAGGTTAAGAACAGTTTCAGGTTAAGAACTGACCTCCAGAACGAATTAAGTTCCTAACCCGAGGTACCACTGTATGCTAATGCACACAATGGCCAAACCCTCAGCCCTTTATGATGTACATGTATAGTGATCTTTCCATGGGAACATAAACTGTGGTCAATCAGAATTTATGTTTCAATATGGGGAGCCCAATGCATGTGCATCTATGCAGAGCTCCTTTTGGACTGATGTCAGTTGTGCATTGGCTGGGGTAGTGGTACATGTCAACCATGCATGTTAGTATCTAGAGGGTGGAGTTAGTCCATTTATGCACGATCCCTTTCACATGCTTATACTGCTGTGAGTCCTGGAAGACCTGGTCACTGCCTTGTAGGCCTTTTCCACCTGGTCTGGGAGGGCGGGGCCCTGACTTAACTCCAACTGCAAAAGCTGAGGCTGCTGAACAGACTCTTGGGCTGGCGTGTTATTTGGGGATTTTTGTTGTTGGAGGTTTCTGTATCTTGATTTTAGATCTTATGGTTTATGTGGAAATTATTCAGTTTGGTTGTGTGTTTTTGATGTTTTATTTATTGTTTATGACCACTTTTGTTATGTTGCAGTTACTTATTTCTTAAATGTTGTAAGCCAACTTGAGCATAGTTTGAACTGTGGAAAGGCGGCATCCGAATACAATTATGTATGTATGTAAATCTTTTTTGTTGACAGATTCTCTCTGTGGCTGTTGTGCATTTTCTTCAGTGCTGTTTTAGGAAGAGCATCTTGGTCAAATGGTGCAGTTTAGTCTTAGTGATGTTCATGCCTGAAAAATGAGCACGTTTTACTTTCTGGATACATAAACAGTGCCTCCTATGTTTTTATAATAACTATAATTACTGCTAAAAGCTGCATATAAAACTGATCATAGAGGGCATTGTTGAAAAATACATCCCTGGAAGTCTTTGGGTTAAGACTAATTAATAAGAGTTGCTGGTGGACTCTTTGAAGAAGGGTGAGAAGTTCCCAAGAGTAGACCTTACGGGAGAGATGCAGTTCCCAGGCACATCTTTCAGTCTTCATGAGTGCATTTCTTCTAGAGATTTGACACATCCATAGCTTCATCATTGTCCTTGAGTGGTTGGCCTAGCTTCATAATGGATTATAGAAATAAAGATTCAGAATCTCTCATTCCTTTCACACTCACTGTTCATGTGTAGCAAGAGGCCTTGGTAAGACAAATGTCATTTATTATTAAAAACCATTTAAAATGGTCATATTCAGTGAAGGCATTTCTTAATGGAATGTGAGAAAGACTTGGCACAAAAGGAGGCAATTGGAAAACCTTTTTGCTTGAGAAGTCTTCATTAGGAGGCTTAGATTCAGAGGGGCCATCATTGCTGGATGCTTTTTTGGTTCCACAGTTCAAGTAATTGAGCCTACAGCCAGTGTGAAAGTATAAACGTAGAGCTTGTTTGATACCTGTGTTTGATATATCTATTCTTGGGCATCAGACCCCTCAAGGAAACAGTGGTACACCATACAGGACCCCCAAGAGTGTCCGAAGAGGAGCTACTCCAGTAGAGAGAGAACGCATTTTAGGAACCCCTGACTACTTGGCACCCGAGCTCCTCTTAGCAAAGGCTCATGGTAAGCAAACTGCAGTATAATTTCATGTATCTGTTACACACATTTCCTCATTTTTGTAGTGAGATTTGGCTCACTGCAATTGAGAGCACTTTGATGTTAGACATTACTGGAATCTGGGTTTAATCTTAGACGTTCCTAAGGGTTAAGGGTGTTTTCTTTTCCTTGTTTAGTCTTTCGTTGCACTATTATCCAAAAAGTATGGTTATCCTTAACACACAGTTTTTTAGTTACAGATAGGTAGCCGTGTTGGTCTGCCATAGTCAAAACAAAAAAAATTCTTTCCAGTAGCACCTTAAAGACCAACTAAGTTAGTTCTTGGTATGAGCTTTCGTGTGCATGCACACTTCTTCAGATACACTGAAACAGATACACTTCTTCAGTGTATCTGAAGAAGTGTGCATGCACACGAAAGCTCATACCAAGAACTAACTTAGTTGGTCTTTAAGGTGCTGCTGGAAGGAATTTTTTTTGTTTTGACACAGTTTTTTGTATGTGCACTGTTAGCTTATGCAGGTGCATCCATACATACAATCTTTGAGTTGCACCCTGGAGCATTGCAGTTTGCAAGTATTGCCATTTGATCCTGCAAAATTTATAAACTGTCCTCTAATCTCTGCTAGTATGTGATAAATAGACAATGTTGCAAAATATTCATTGTGCGTTTATATATTAAGGATTTAAGGAAGCAAAGCTAGGATACTTGTCTTTAGAAAAATACCATATGTTGGTGAATTTGTAAAAAAGTTACTCATTAGAAAAATGTTAAAACTGAGTGCAATGTAATTAAGTTTTTAATATATATTTATCAAAATGTTTCCCTGGTATTTTTTTTTTACACACAGGAGTTCAGGTCACTGGTAAGTTTTATTATAGCACTTAATAGAACAGTCAAAGCATAATTTGATCACACTGTTTAAGATGAAAGAAAGTGAGAAATCCGCATGACTTGGCATATAGTTGTATCTGCTTCTGCATCTTTTCCCTGTTCTGTCAGGGAAAGGGGTGGGGTAGAAATAAAAAACTATACAGCAGCAGCAACAAGAAGTAATAAAAACACCGTGGCATCTTAATGTCCAGCACATTTAATATGGCATAAGACCCATTCCATGGAAGATCTTGAATTCCATTGTTCTTTCCAGGCCATACTGGCAATAAGTTAAACATTTCCTTGTCCTTCCTTTCTTGCTTACAAATGCCATGTTGTAATCCTAGCAGAGTGCTCCATTCTTTTGTTTTCTGAAGCCTGCTGCATAGAGATGATGATGATGGTGATATTTTAAAGAACAAATCTCATGTGGAGGGTGGAAACATACTAATTCCTTTTACCACTCTTAATTGCAGTTAGTAGGTCTGTCCTGCAAAGGTTAACATGCAGTAGCAATAGCATGTAACTAATCACCTGGAAAAATCTGTAGAATTAATGTTGGCTTCTCACAGGAGGAAACCAACACACCCAAGTTACAATCCTTCTTTTGAACATAGTTTCCCTATAATAGGACAATCTGGTTTCAGCAAAACACATACTAAACTAGAGCTGAGGTGGGCAAACTGGGTCCTGTGCTGTCTGCAGCTCCTTGTCTAGTCATGGATACCAAGAGGGATCCATCTACAGTGGCATTTAAGATTGGGGTAAAGAAGTTGGTGTAATCTGCACAGATCCATCAGGGGAGAATGACAGCTTGAGGATATATTGAAGCAGAGTCTTAAGGACAGAATTGACAGGAAGAAAAGTAATAATGCTGGGAGTTATGGACAAAGTGTCATTTATAAATGGAGAAGTGTGGGAATGGTGTGCCATTTTGACTTTTAACCATGTAAGGTTGTCTTGTAGTGAAAATCAGGAAACTTGTCTTGAAAAATGTGGCCATTTTATCAAATATGAAATAGTTTTCTCAACACTTCCTATAGGATGTGATCTTATTAGACTTTGACAGCTTTATGCATATTCCTACTCCCCCCCCCACAAAAAAATCCTCTCACATTATTAAATGCTACTTGCTTCACTGATTGCTGGATATATATTTATTAGAAATCAAGAGGTAAACTGAATTGTAGAAAGAGGCTTTAGGTAACTTGATACCCCTAGTTTTTATTTCATATGAAAACTACCATATTGATTAAATGAATGGGCTGGTTTCTCATGTGTATGCTCCTGACTATCTGCCGTTGAGTATTCAAATACAGATATAACGTATGAACCAAACAATTTGTTACCAGCTAGCAGAAACTTCTGCAATTACCGAAGTTGCTGAGGTCTGATGACTGGGGTCATTCAGTTCACCTGTCGTATTCATGCACACAAGCACATACTCTTGGGTGGTTTCACCGCTGTGTACTGAGAACCCATTGGACAGTGGGGGCGGCTGAAACAGCAGGAAAATGTACCAGCATCTGCAGTGCAAGCAAGTTGTCACAGCAAGTGCATCCTTCCTTCCTGACATGATGGGCTGTCTGGAGCTTTAGCTGTGCAGCAGCTGCAGGGTGCATGTTGCTTTTTAATGGCTTGTGGTGTCTCAACAGCTTTGCCTGCTTGGTCTTTGACTGTGCTTGATCAGTATTCAGTTTCATTAAGAGCATGCCAATAGCCTGTTAAGATCAGGCCAGTGGCCCATCTAGTCCAGTGTCCTGTTCTCAAAGGGGCCAACCATATGCTTGTGGGAAACCAGGAAGCAGAACGTGCGCACAAGAACCCTCTCCCCTCCGGTAGTTTCCAGCAACTGGTGGTTGGATGTATTGCTGCCTCCAACTGTGGAGGGTAGAGCAAAGCCATCATGTCTAGTAGCCACAGATACCCGTCTCTTCCACGAACTTGTCTAATCCTCTTTTAAAGCCAACCAAGCTGGTGGCCGTCACTGCCCTCCTGGGGGAGCTGAGTGAAGAAGTATTTTTTTACCTGTCCTAATTCTTCCAACCTTCTCCTTCATTGGACGTCCACAAGTTCTAGTGTTATGAAAAGGGGGTGGAGCTTTTTTTCTGTCCACCTTCTCCATTTTGTAAACCTTAAAGCTGTCAAAGAGCAAGTAAGAGGAAGTTAGCCATATGTTGTCCTATTAGCACTGCAGAGAGAACTTCCTGTTGAGTCTGAGCTTCTGTGGTGCCTATTTCTACACTAGATATTCACATAAAGGTTTACCGTACTTTTCCGTGGATAACACACACCCAATTTGGGGGGATTAAAAATTAAGAAAATGGGGGGAGATTGCCCAGAGTTGTTGAGCTTTTTGGGAAGAGGATTGTCTCTCCTAACATATGTCTCCTCACTGGCAGAAGCAGCCAATTGCCTGCCTAATTGCCGCAGTGACAGCCAATCAACACCACCCCTTGCCGCAGCCACCAATGACATGCTGCTGACAATCTCCGGCTCACGGTATAAACCAATCCCACGTCCCCCCCCATGCACTATCCATGTATAAGATCCCCCCCCATTTTAAACATAATTTTAAAGTTAAAAAAACCTAGTCTTATACACAGAAAAGTACAGTATTTTTATAATAATGACTTGTTCTCTGCAATCATTAGTCAACTCAGAATTTATTTTGAATATGAGGCCCTAAATCAGTGGTGGCCAAACTTGTCCCTCCAGGTGTTTTGGAACTACAATTCCCATCATCCCTGACCACTGGTCCTGTTAGCGAGGGATGATGGGAGTTGTAGTCAAAAAACAGCTGGAGGGACAAGTTTGGCCACCACTGCTCTAAATGATGTGCTTGGTTCCTTTTTAAAACCTAGGAAGTGCAGACTTTTGAATTTTTCATTGCTTACACAACTGGTCTTTCAAAGTCCAAGGGTGGTTTAGAATGGGAGGTGACTTGCTTTGCTCTGCCTTCCGTCGTTTTAAGGAAACATTAACATATTGGGAATAGCAGAAGGGAAAAGGGAAGGTGATTAGAAAACAATTTCTGTCTTGTATGCTGCTTTCATGAATAACAGGTGTTTGGGCGCTCGGTATCTTCCCAGGCAATACACCTTTACATAATACCTCTCATGGTGGTCAATTTATGTGGACTTTCTTCACTTCAGGTCCTGCAGTAGACTGGTGGGCACTTGGAGTTTGCTTGTATGAGTTTTTAACTGGAATTCCACCATTCAATGACGAAACACCACAACAAGTATTCCAGAATATTCTGAAAAGGGGTAAATTACCTTACTTTCGAGTAAAATTAATTTCAAAGGTTGTTGGTCCAGCATAAGTACAGAGATGTTTTGTGTGTGTTTCTAGATATTCCGTGGCCTGAAGATGAAGAGAAATTGTCAGATGGTGCTCAGAATGCAATAGAAGTTCTTTTAACCATTGAGAGCAGTAAGCGAGCTGGACTCAAGGGTTAGTATATGTTGGTTATCTCTTTAATGTTACCATTATGATTTTTCTTTAGCAATTTAGAAACCTGCAATTTGAGTACATATGTTATTGGAGGGAAGACTATCTGCTATAGCCATTTCTAGTCATTATGTATGAAGGTGGTCAGCCCAACACTATAGCTGCCAGGTTACAAAATTCACAAGACGAAAATCCAGTGAAAGGCAAGAACCATTTTATTTATTCTTCCATGGAGCCCATAGCAGTGTATGTGGTTCTCGCCTCTCTTCTACCCTTGTAGCAATTCCAAATAGCAGCATAGGCTGAGATACAGCCATGGCTTGTTTAGTCAGCCTCATGGCTGAGCAGTGGTTTGAATCCCAGATTCCCTGAGCCAGCCTCACATTCTACCCACTACACCACACTGCCTTATTGCTTCTGTTTTTTCCTGTTAGTGTGAATCTGGTTTATCAAATCCACACATCATGGAGTTGCTGTCTAGAGACTGCTTCATATTGTCTACTCTAGAGCATGCAAGTTCTGGGAACAAAGTGCCGGCTTAGGGCTACCTACTGTAGAAAGAGAACTTTGATGAATGCTTTGCAAAAACATTTCAAATCTATAAGGGCAGGAGTACGTTGGCAAACCCTTACTAAGACAGACGTTTAATTTCAGTCTTATGACTCTAAATACAGTCAGACAAATTTAAGAAAAAATACATTGCAGACATCCAGAATCAGACAAAGAAGCTGGAAAGTGCAAGGTGTTCATGCAAAGAAATCTAACCTTTGTTAAAAAATTTATTCCAGAGCTGAAACTTCACCCCCTCTTTCATGGTGTGGACTGGGATAATCTGCATAATCAGACCATGCCCTTCATACCACAGCCAAATGATGAAACAGATACTTCCTATTTTGAAGCTAGGAATAATGCTCAGCATCTAACAGTATCTGGATTCAGCTTGTAGTACGGGAAAATGGAATTATTTTCCAGAGAACGGCACATTTAAGAAGCTTCCTTAACATAAGTTTTACTCTCTATTTTCTAACGCACCTAAGTTTTTTAAAAAACCTGATTTGCTTTTAACTCTGCATATATATTTATATATATTTCTTACAAGCTGTATTGAAACCATTCATTCCAAACAGCTTCTGAACTATATTTTTAGTCTACTTACAGCACCTTATGTAAGTCTTTAAGTATTACGTATTTAATGGTGGTATAACACAGTGACACTGAACAAAATGTCAAATGTTGGGAGGAAGAGCTGCTTTGTTGTTGAGCATACCTGGGAGGTTAAGTGCATAGTGATTATTTTGGTGCCTCCAATTCAGCCACTTTACAGACTCAATTCAAAACTGGTTTTCTGACTTTTCAAGCTGTGCCTGTAGAGCAGCCAGAAGATGCTCCTATCCCATTGTGTTCCACATACTTTAGGTAGTTTGTATACTGCCTGCCCTGCTGCTTAAGCTGCCAATGTACTAAATTATCTCTAATGTCATTGTCAAGGTCTGTTTCTCCCACCCACCTTACCTATGAACATTGTTTAGGTCCTCACCAATGCCATCAATCAGCCTATTACCTATCTCGTCAACTGTCATTTTATTTTTGGTGTTGTTGCCTATCTTTAATTCAAAATATTATCATGTTCAAAATGAAACTATCATCTGAATTATCTAGCAGTCATTACAGAGGTTATCCAGTTTTCTTCCTGTAGGCAATATGCCAGTTTTCTGCCTGTAGGCAATATGAGTAATTCAGCAATTAACACCTGCCTACATGCCGCTGCCAGTAAATGCAATTAATAAATGATAAAGGTGTGAAGTTATTCATTGATCTTAACAGCCCAGAATAAATGATTACACAATATTTTCAGCAGGTGTACTGGTATTGTGTAAGGTGTATAGAGCAATACTTTGAAACAAGTGAGCTGTCCATGCAAATGAATAAAATGAGAACTGTGAGCTAGCTTGCTCTCAGAGCCTACCTACTTTGCAATTCCCAGTTAGTTTCCTCCTCCATATAATCAGTGGTGATGGTACCTTCAGGTATCTTCAAGCCTTTCGGGCCCAGGACCCACTTTTAACCCAGACACAGGGGCCCATTTCTTAATCTTTTACCATATATTTGCATGGTGACAGCGCTCCTGTTGTGACCCACCCTGGGTCAGGCCATGACCCACTAGTGATTCTCAACCCACCAGTTGAACCCCAATGGCTTATTAGAGGAAAGAGTCTCAAAACCTGACAATCTGCTGGAGTACTTACCTGTTTTGGAGACACACTACCTGGTTTACCTGCTGCTGTCACCCTCCACCCTTTGGGGAAGACTGAAAGTTTTGTATTTCCACAACTGCTCTCCTACCTCCCCTTCCTTAAGCTGTGCCCTGAAGCTCTGGTGAAAACCAGCTATGAAGCAGCAGGAAGACTGTCCTTTTTAAGAAAGCGTATTTTCTGAAGCTGATCCCCTTCATCCTTGATAAGAATAAAGCAACTTGGAACAATTAGGACAAGAGTATTCTTATTGTCATATTCCAACCCAGTCACTGTTTTGAGAACCTTGAAATCTTAAACTTCCAACAGGCCTATGTTACATTCAATCAATCAATCAATCAATCAATCAATCATTCAGTTGTAAAATGTCCTTGGATAATGCGCCTGTCATTCTTTATTAAATGTTATTTACAGTAGATTAAGATGAACTAACATTTAAAACTTCAAAATCATGTTCTAGTAAACAAGGCAGAAATTCTAACTCCTGTAATTACATTATTTATATAGCATATAACAGGTGTGAAGGTGCTTTTCTTCAAGACCTTGCCATCAGAGCAGATGCAACACTGCCCATGAGCTTTCTGTAATGAGTTACACAGTGCAAAAAATGTCACAGTCCAGAAATTACTTTAAAGTAGGTCAGTTGACTGCAGTAGGTTCATGAAGGAGTAAGCAGCTATGGAGTTGCTGCTCTTTTCACAGGTCTAGAATACGTTTTTCTATTTTTTCAATACACCAACTGAAAAGCAATCACTTTAGGTTGATTTTTATAACATCATATAACGAAAGGTAATGTTAGTTAAATGCTAACTTTCTCATTTGCTATAGAAAAGTCCCTTCTAGTTGTAGTCTGAGATGTTACTACTGAAATTATCAGGCTGTTATATCCAAATAGGTATCTAATCAAGTAGAAATCTAATAAAGTGACAATGCTAAAATTGTCTTGAAAGTGTTTAAAGGAAAGAGACTTGCACCTGTAAAGGGTATGAGAAAATGCCGCAGCAATTAGGTATGTAAAACAATTAAAACTATAGAAATATTGTCCTAAAGTTTCAAAAAGCAATGGCCCTAAGCTGCAAATGCAACAAAAGTTTGAGTGCCAACTGCTGCTTTAGAGTACTCACATGTGCATATGTGCACATGCAGACACGCACAGTGGTCTAAGCTGACAGTGCTGATTAGCCATGGGAGCAGGAAGGGGCTAACTGGCTTGAGTCAAGGGGCAAAATTACACTGACACCAGTTGAATCTGTGCCAGGATTGTCACTACTTCTAACAGAAGATGGGAAGACTGAATGCTTGTCCCAATTTTTTAAAAAAATCCTCCACACAGAAACATGGGAAGGAAAAGCTCTCTTTTTTATTTAAAATAATGTGGAATTTCTGGTATGGAAGAACATTCAATCATACAAGCCTCACCTGCTGTATTTGGTAATAGTCATAGGTTTATAACCCTAGTGAGAAAATATATAATAGAGGCCCTTTTACCAGGTCTAGCCTGCACATGTAGCACAGCTTAGTCACCTTTAAGGTGTATTGGATGCAGGATTTTCCTGCAGCAGCAGCAGCAGCTTCCTATTGCCCTAGCACTGGAGCCAATCCATTCACAACAGCCCGTTTCTATACATTTCCTGGGACAGCAGTGTAAGTTTTTAACATGCATTTTGAACACCTTCTAAATTAATATTATGCAACTTCTAAAACTGAACATTAAGGACTATTTACAATAAACTGTACTTACATTCTTGTTCCATTGATTTCAATAAGACAATGTAGGTTAGGGGGTGCCAGGGCCATTTTACGTACTTTGTTCTGTGTACTGAGTTCTGAATCTATCGTGCCATATTCAAACTCTGACTGCTGGTCTAACAAATTAAGATGCTTGACTTGTTTTTTAAAGAAGCATTGATGGTCCCCATGGAAGTACAATCTACAGCTTCAAACACTTTATTTGTTTCCTAAAAAACTACCTCATCTATGTAGCAGCAATTTATATATTAGATCTCCCAGAGCTACAATGTTAATTGCAGTCATACAATCCAGGTACTTGGACTATTCTAGACTTTAAAGTTTCCTCTGCTTATTGTATGTTTTGTATGCTATGTGGAAAGTCTTGTGCGGCATTATAAAATAAATCATGTTAAAAGTAACAATTCACAGGCTTTCATTATTTTTCACAGGCTTTCATTATTGTTTTGTTGTTTTTCATTAATTGAAGGAACTTCTTCATTCCAGCTTTGGGATGAAGAAACACTCTCAGTAGATGCTGCAGTAATAGCCTTCAACTCTACAGACTGTTCATCCAAAAAGTACATTCCAAAACAATTAATTTAGGGTTCATGTGATTGCTGGATGGGATAGTTGTATTTATTTGTAATCTAAGAGAAAGGGACCATTCATGTATGGTATGCCAGGTAGTGCAAAAGGGAGAAAAAATAGAACAAAGATGTAGCCATCCCAGCATCTGCAGTTCTTGCAGGTCTCTTAAATTACTTCACCTTCCAGAGTCTCCATGTTAGCAGTCCTTAAGTAAAATCAGGAATTGAATCCTCAGTTCTGTTTTCTGAGAAGGGGAGAAGAAAACACCAACTTGAAATGCTATCCTAAGTATTTCTTCTTAGCAGTCTGTTGAGTTTGATGGAATTGCATGCAAAATTGCTACCCAGCACTTTCATTTACCCATAAACATTTTACAATATTCTTGTTCTAAGCCTTAAAATGCTTAGAATTACACCATCCCTGATTAATACCATTTACTGTTTCACTTTATTCATTTAATACTAAAATGAATAAGCTGCTTTACACATTCCTGTAACATGACCGTTGTTGGTGAAATGTCCAGAAATTCAGCAGATACAAGGGCTCCTTCAACTCATTAATATATATATATACTATGTGGTGGTGTGTGTGGTGTGTGTGTAATATATATATATATATATATACTATATAAGTGGCTTGCCAGAGCCGCGATGTCACGCTGGCCACCGTGAACCCGGAAGTCGTCTGCGGACAGCACTGGCTCCGCCTATAGAGTGAGATGCACGCACAACCCTACGAGTCCTGGCAAGACTGGCCCGTACGCGGCAGGCGTACCTTTAACCATATATATATCATATATATCTATGTGTATATATATATGGTAAAGGTACCCCTGCCCGTACGGGCCAGTCTTGCCAGACTCTAGGGTTGTGCGCTCATCTCACTCTATAGGCCGGGAGCCAGTGCTGTCCGCAGACACTTCCGGGTCACGTGGCCAGCGTGACATCGCTGCTCTGGCAAGCCAGCGCAGCACACGGAACACCGTTTACCTTCCCGCTATATATATATATATATGTATATATATATGTTGTGTATATAATATGTGGGACGTGGGTGGCGCTGTGGTCTAAACCACTGAGCCTAGGGCTTGCCGATCAGAAGGTTGGTGGATCAAATTCCAGCGACGGGGTGAGTTCCCATTGTTCGGTCCCTGCTCCTGCTAACCTAGCAGTTCGAAAGCACGTCAAAGTGCAAGTAGATAAATAGGTACCACTCCGGCGGGAAGGTAAACGGCGTTTCCGTGCGCTGCTCTGGTTCACCAGAAGCGGCTTAGTCATGCTGGCCACATGACCTGGGAGCTGTACGCCGGCTCCCTCGGCCAGTAAAGCGAGATGAGGGCTGCAACCCCAGAGTCGTTCGCAACTGGACCTAACGGTCAGGGGTCCCTTTTATATATAATATTTATACAAGGCTTGGCTTGGTGAAAAACTTTAGTGAAAAATTTTCAACAAAAAATACTTATTGTTAATAGTTGGAATACATTCATGGCAAAACGTATTTCACATTAAGCTTGTGCTTCTAAATTCCTACCAAACAAGAGAAGTATTCCCCAAATTCAAATGATATCAGGACAAATCTTCCATTTGTCTGTCCATTACTCTCATACCTAATAATAAGCCTGATGTCTTCTTTATTTTCTTCAGAAAAAAGTTAAGACTCAACCACTGGACAACACTGACTACTCAACAAACTATGCAAGTGCAACACATGAGGCAGCTTGGCATAAGATTCTGCTTTGACTGGTGTACTATTCCAGCAAAGCACTATCTGTGTGAAAAGATATATCCCTAATATAAAATGGAATCTTTATGGTCCTTGTGAAAAAAATCCTTGTGTGCTGATAAGATTATACACAATCAAGAAAGGAAATTGAGAGGGAGAGGCCAAAGATCCAAAGGGCAGCATGGACTCGTGCATTAGCAGAGTAAATTAGCATATCTAACAGGATTGACAGTCTTACCTCCTTCTCCTTTGAAGATACACATGTACCAGCCACTGGGCAACAAATGGCCAGAAAACAGCAAAGACTAAAGTACCAGGAGAAATCTCGAACGGCCACCAGGAAGGTCTCTAAAATAACACATAAAAAATTAATTTCTCCAGTTAAATAAGATGTTGGTAAATGTCTGCATAGGCATAGAACTATTTAAGATTATATATTTGGAACCTGTATGTTCTTCCCCAACTGGGCACTGTGTCACTTGTATATTCCTCCCTAGTCTCTACATTTAGAACTGCTTTAAAATTTCCTCCTGTAGATCTGTCTTGCAAAAAATCTTCAAGATTAATCAGGGTAATAAATAAAACAAATGGATCAAATTAACAGGAGACAAAAGGCAACAGCATTTAAAATGCTGCTTTTTGGCCTCTTTTTAAGATAATTGTGTTATGAAAAGTTCCATTTTAATCTACATACAGTCAAAAGAAAGCCAACATAAAAATCAAAGTTGCTCTGTTAAAAGTAGGTAAGATCTTACCTTAGCAGGTGAGGGAGTCTGATTATTTGAATGTACGGTTGCAGTTCCTGTCTGCAAATAAAACACAAATTTAACACAGTGACAAATTATGTTTCAAATTTATACTCACAGCTTCACATTATATTCCTACTGTGGTTTCTGAAACATTGCAACGCAACATTGTTACTCCACATAATGAAATGGAACACTTCTGCTTGGAGTGATGATTTTGCCACCTCTTCCCTGCCACCCATCCTTTGCAATTAAGCCTGCTTACATACAGACTCCCCTACATTACACACATAAAGGTAAAGGTAAAGGTACCCCTGCCCGTACGGGCCAGTCTTGCCAGACTCTAGGGTTGTGCGCTCATCTCACTCTATAGGCCGGGGGCCAGCACTGTCCGCAGACACTTCCGGGTCACGTGGCCAGCGTGACATCGCTGCTCTGGCAAGCCAGCGCAGCACACGGAAACGCCGTTTACCTTCCCGCTAGTAAGCGGTCCCTATTTATCTACTTGCACCCGGAGGTGCTTTCGAACTGCTAGGTTGGCAGGCGCTGGGACCGAACGACAGGAGCGCACCCCGCCGCAGGGATTCGAACCGCCGACCTTTCGATCGGCAAGTCCTAGGTGCTGAGGCTTTAACCCACAGCGCCACCTGCGTCCCTACATTACACACATACATTACTCCAATAATCAAGCTTTTTAAAATAAAGAGTAAGGATGATCTCCAACTAAGTCATGCTCCAAGTAGGAGCACTGAGGTAAAGTAGGACTAACACTAGACATCACCCTAACTTTATAGAATACAAGCGCATCTTACCTGTGAAGTTGTCAGTGTTTCCAATGCATGCAATCTCTGAAGGACATTTTGCATGTCTTCTTGTAATCGTATAAGCACTACTGCAATTTGTTCATTGAGGCCACTTCTTGGTCCTCTATCTGACCCCCATCGTTCTCCATCTCCTCCACTACCCATTTGTCCACCTTGGGCACCATCACCCAAAGGGTGCATTCTATGACCTAAATTTAGGAGGGGAAAGAGAAAGCATTGAGAAATAAGGCATGATTTTAAATTCATATAAAAATCAGACCATTAAAACCTTTTTTTGTAAATTACAAAAAAAAATTTAAGTAGGCACTAGACTTGCTTATCTACATAAGAACATAACAAAACAAATATTCCAACAGTACCTCTCCCTCTTCTGATTCCGTAGAAATCCACCTTTTCACCACCTTTCTTTTCTTTGTGAGGACCTCCATCACTTGCCTTGCCATCCTCACCACCACACTTGACTTCACCTTTTCCTTCAATTGCAGCCACCATTATACCATCTGTCTTGTAGTTTCCAAGTTCAAGAAAACCAGAAGCACCCAGCAGACTGCTGTGGTCTACTTCTGAGAAATGTAATGGATGTTTTGAAAATCCTTTCGTTGACTCCAATATCTACAAGTTAAGAGAATTAGCTATTATATTTTCCGTAAAGTATTTCCCATAAAGCTGGGATACCTAATATACCTAACATACCACCTATGTTATGAGTCTTTTGCGGACTATTGTTGTGGTCCAGGGGCACCTCTGCATTTAATATGCATGTTGTGAAAAATGTAGATTTCTTTCTAAAGTAAATAGCAGCTTGAAAGGACCTCAGCAGGGTAAGAAAGAGTTAAACTCTCCTTTCTCATTTGCTGCAATCAGAGTAGTTATCAGCTCCCCTAGGAGCATATATATTTTAAAAGAGCATGCTAAAAGCAATAGACACATTTAAAACCACACCTAGGCTGACCATTATACAGACTGTGGAAGCGTTGTATTAGATGTACATTCTATTATTTCTTCCAGATTCTAACCCTTCAACCGTTTAGCAGCATCTAAAGAACTGCTTAGGCTTACAGAAGGCAGTTATGTGAGACCCCTAGAATTTTGGGCTTTGAGCAGTTATCTTCATGCTATATCAGGAACTGATTTCATCAGTCTGCCTTGCAGCATGAGAGGATTGCTGTTCAAGCAAACAAGTTTAAAGATTATGTAGGTTCAAAGAACTAATTTCATGTCTCTTTGGATTCTGGTCACTTTATGTTACCTTTTCACATTCAGTACAAAACTTAATAAACTGTACCTCTTCTTGTCCAAACTGCTCCATGGAATCACAGTATATTTCACTATCCGAATCGCTTGTCAAGTGCTGAATGCCAGAGACCTCTTCAGCGGTATCTTCATTTGCACCTGTGTGTACAGGTATATGACCAAACACTTAATAAGTGCAAACAGGCCAATTTGGGCAAGAATAAAACAATGACAGTGCAAAAGTCCACATATAAATATTTCATCAGTCTAAACTTGCCTCTCTCAATCTTGGGTCCCCAGATTTTGGACTACAACTCCCATCATCCCTAGCTAGCAAGACCACTGGTCAGGGATTATGGGAATTGTAGTCCAACAACATCTGGTAACCCAAGGTTAAGAAAGGCTGGTTTAAACGGTGAGCACATGATCACACTTCAAATATTAAAAAGCTTATTATGTAAGTTGTCTGCTTAAGATAAAGCAGGTGAAAGCACTGCTTGCAATAGCTATTCACAATGGGGCAATATCGTTAGATGTGATTGTTGAGGTTAATTTATCCTAATTACTTTGAACCCCACCTCTCTCAATTATATTTTCCACATGGATGCCCTTTGTGTAAGCACTTTATTTGCATGAATCTCCCAACCACTTTGGGAGGAGGAGGAAGAAACTTGTCAGTCAGAAGAGAAGAAGCCTCAGTGTCATTTACTGTACATGGAGGAGTTTACTTTGATTCTCCATCACACAAAGACACAGTAAGTATATCAACGGAGGGCACACTACAGTCAAATACTGTATTTACTCAAATCTAATGTGTACCTTTTTTGGACGAATTACATTGCGAAAATTAAGGTGTGCATTAGATTCAATGGCACATTTACATTCGCCAGCAAATACTTTTTTTTTCAAGGTTCTGAAAACTGAGGTGCGCATTAGATTCGATGGCGCATTAGACTCGAGTAAATATGGCATTAAAAAATTAACAAGTTTACAGAATATATTATAAAGCATACCAAAGGTTAAATCTCCAATCATTTCCACTACAGCTTGGTAAAAGTGAGGAAATAATCTTTACAAACCAGACAGCAAATTCCCAGGGTAGTCTTCACCACTGGAAAATTCTGCTTGACAAACATATAGACTAATTTGGAAAAATGCACGTGAGGAAAGCACCTTGGTGAGAAGACCCAAAATTAGAAATTATAGGTAGTTCAAGACGCTTGTCTCTCTTCTTTACTTCTTCATCCACATTTATACCATTCAGAGCAGATTTAGTCTGTATGCCATTGTGAATGTCAGTATTCGGGACATCTTCACAGCAACCATTGGCAACAACACAGTCCAGCTCCTGAGCAGGCGTCAAATCTGGTCCCAGACTCTCACTTTCTGTAAAACCAATTAATAAGGGGACAACATTTCAAACAGACTTATACTATGAAATATACTAGTTTTTACAAATGTGCTTGTTTTATTTGTTCATAGATTTAATGAACTCTACTCAGGGCCAGATTTAGGTTTGATGAGGCCCTAAATTACTGAAGGTAATGGGGCCCTTTCTATGTCCAGCTGTCCTTTGTCAACAACAAATTGCCACTGTTTTTTGTGCTGAATATATGCTATATGGTAATTTGTGGACCTAATAGGTATCTAAAGACATTTGCACATGTTGCCATGCAACCAGTCTATGCAGAATGTAGGCACCCTATATATGGAAATGAGCAAACCAGTGATATTTTAGGGAACAGGCTAGCAGGCAGGGCCCTTTACTTACATCATAGAAGCCTACACAACACAAAACACTGTTCCTGTATGTAGGTTTTATTTTTTATATTATATTTTGGAAATGTACATCCAGGTTTTTTTCCCTTTAATTTTTTGGGGGGTCCCCACAAGAGTGGGGCCCTAAGCTATAGCTTTTGTTTAGCTTATACGTAAATCCAGCACTGACTCTACTCATCTCTGACAGTCTCTGTCCATGAAGTGGGCAGCATTACTCCATTGGTATGGAAGCCTCCAACTAAATGTGTGGAAGCCCCACTGCCAGGATCCCAACTGGTGAAAGCCTACGGATAGTCCTAAAACAGCAAGGGGCTGAGCTAGCACAGGATCTGCTGGATATCAAGCCAGCCCCACTGCAATGACATGTCAGCACTGGGCCCAATGTGGGCCTCGTTGCTGTAACGATTTCAAGTGTTCCCCTTCCTCTTCTGCACCAGGCTGTGAGAGTAGCTGAGCTACGGAAGTGGCTCTGGGCCTGATAGCCAGTTAAGCCCCGACCAAGGGACATGGGTAGCTCTGTGGTTTAACCCTAGGAGTTGCCGATCAGAAGGTCAGCGGTTCAAATCCCCGTGATGGGGTGAGCTCCTGTTGCTCGGTCCCAGCTCCTGCCAACCTAGCAGTTCGAAAGCACGTCAAAGTGCAAGTAGATTAATAGGTACCACTCTGGCAGGAAGGTAAACGGTGTTTCCGTGCGCTGCTCTGGTTCTCCAGAAGTGGCATAGTCCTGCTGGCCACATGACCCGGAAGCTGTATGCCGGCTCCCTCGGCCAATAAAGCGAAATGAGCGCCGCAACCCCAGAGTCGGTCACGACTGGACCTAATGGTCAGGGGTCCCTTTACCTTTACTTAAGGTTTGGATTGCAATGTTAAGTTACTTGTACTACACAATTCATTATGCAATGTTTCCATTGGTTACAAAATAATAAAGAAAAGGAAGAAAAGCTGAATCACCCATAGTCCAACTACCTGCATGTTGCTTTTGACTTTTTGTGTGTCTTACTTTGTAATTAAATTGTGGGCACCCATTCCATCTCTGCAGTTACATGTCCTGCATTCACTCATCACTCCTATTACCAATCTATTAAATATCTTTCCATTTAAAAAAACACACCACAATTGTACACAAAAGCTTACATCCCAACAACACATGTTTTTCCATCATGTTCAGAATTTGCTCCTAGGTAAGTGGGGGCAGGATTACATCTAATCAGATTCCCAAGCCTCTTCTGAAATCTGAAGTTTCCAAACAAGGCTCACTCTTACAAAATAATGTAGGGCAAGGAGACACGGGACCATTGCTTTTTTGTGTTCCACAGCAGCCACAGTCTGCTTGAGCAAGACTAAAAAGAAGCACAAACAGCTTTGAAAAGGTGGGTGCGGTTCAGAAATAAAGCAGTACCTTTCTCAACCTGCTTTAGCTCTGTTATTTCTTCCTGATGGGGTTCCTCCTCCGACTCTGCTCCGCTGTCGCTGCTTTCAGATTTGCCATTCACAGCTGGCATAGACGTTATGGAATATCCAAGGTCTAAAAGCAAGTTCAGAAAATGAATATTTACTAGAGATTTAAAATAATTGTGTAGTTATTAAATATTTGTTTTTTAAAAAATAAATCAATTCAAGGCAATTTCTACCTCTTGTCCTTAAATATAATTCTCATATATTATATATATTTCCCCCAAACTTTCCCTCCTTTGGCTCACAGCATCTGTACTGGTAAGTGAAAATTCCTTATCATAGCTTGAATCCAGACTTGGATTTTTTAGGGTTTTCAAGGGCAGGGAATGTGACCTTGCCAATGTTGCTGGACTTGAGGTCTCATAATGCCTGGCCATGAACTTTGTTGTCTAGGGCTGATGAGAGTTGGGATTCCAGCAACAAGTGGAAGGCCACAGGCTCTCTACTCTCGGGCAAAACACACCATTAACTATTTGCTATTGGTTCAGAATCCATTGCTTAGGCAAGAAACCTTAGATACGCCAATACTATTGAGAAGTCAAACTTCTCCATGGCTTAGAAAGCTTCTTTTAGCAATGGCATACTTCATTATAAAAGTATTCAATGCAAAGTGTTGCGTGAGAAGAGCAGATATAGATATGCTTCAGCTTTTATATCTACTACATTTATGCCAGTAAAGAACTTATAGTTTTGTATTATTATTACATGGCTACAGATACAGGAATGCGAGATAGGCCGTCACTATCAAAGCCAACAATTTTAAATGTCAAGCAAGCCTTCAGTATTCAGTCATATATTCTCTATTTTGAAACCAGAAGAAAATTCAACGTCTTCCTGAAACACTATTACCATACTGGCCCAAATAGAAGACACACCTTTTAAATTCAAGGGGGGGGAGAGAAAAAAAGACAATACCCAAATATAAGCCGCTCTCTTAAAATTCCGCAGGCACTCACACCCGTTCCTTTTTACCGTATGTCTGCTTCGGCAGCGAAATCGTAAAAGCCAATTTTTGTAAGGTCGCAAATTTAAGCCATACTTTAACTTTTCACGGTTGGAATTTGGAAAAAAGTGATGCTTATATTCAGGCCAATACGGTATTTGTACCAACATAACATTATATATATAATAATCAGTCTGTGAGGGTATTAAAATAGGTCACTTCTTGACTCCAGGGATGAATTATTTAGTTCTGGCCTTAAATAACAGAAGTATGTATGCACCTATGCCACTTCAATTCAATAAGATTCTTTTTTATTACTAATTTCAGTCTGATTTGGGGAGGTCTACCAATGGAGCAACAGTGAAACAACAGAGGCAAGAAGAGTGTGATCGGTATTAGCATAACTTTTACTTGGGGTGCCAAAAACTTTAGCATGTTTAATCTTTTGATTCAAGTTGCTTGTTGTGCAAATCAATAGCTGGGACTTGTTAAACATGTTTTACTGCTTCCCTTTGTCTGCAAGGGACTTTGCTACTCAGATCTATATGATAAATTAAAGGGTGACGAGGCAGATTAGTTTCCATACTTTTGTTCCAGGCACTGTGACAAGGGTGGATCGTTTTTGCAACAGAGTCGACTAATGTTTCAGACAAGGAAATTTGTTTGATAAACAAAGCAGTCCCAGTGCAATTGGTGGTGGGACGATGAATGGTCGGAGGGAGAAGAGGGAGCAGACTGGGAGGAGGAAGTGTTGGAACCTGAAGAGGCAACAGGGTTTAGTGAGCAGGAGGAGGCTGTGGCAGAGAGCAGCCCAGACATAGAAGCAGAAGCAGAAGCAGGATCTAGAGACTGAGTGGAAGTAGGCTTCTGAAGAAGCCAGGGAAGCTTCCCGTCTTCCTGTGGTCTCCCAGAACACACAGAAAACTGAAGAGAGCAGAGCAGAGACAAAACAAATGAGCCTTAGGTTGCTGGGGAAGGAACCAGGGGAGGAGCCTTGGAGGGCGGTGGGAGGGCGGGGACCTTCAGTCCTCGCAACTGCCTCATTGGGGCAAGTCCTGCTGGGAAGAGTTTCTGTGAACACTAGGTCTGTGCAGTTTTGGATTCTTTAAATAGTTAATTTACTTACACCAGTGTTTTTGATTGCTGACCTACTCCTGACACCAGTTCTCTCCTGCCATTTCCATGTTTGAATTGATTTATTGATTTATTTCCTGGCCCCACACATATATGTGTTAGCACGCAAGTAAATCGTGTGTAGGGGGCGCGCGCCTGTAGTTATGCAAGATATTTAGCCTCTCCAATGCATTGGAAGAAAGTACCTAATCTACAGGTGGTACATGACTCCGGCTAAGTTAGCAAAGATTTATCATTTGCCCAATAACAAGTGTTGGAAGTGTAATGAAACGGAGGGAACCTTCTATCACCTTTGGTGGACCTGCCCGAAGATTAAGGCTTTCTGGGAAATGATCTATAATGAAATTAAAAAAGTTCTGAAGAGAACTTTTAATAAAAAGCCAGAAGCCTTTCTCCTGGGTATGGTGGGCCAAATGGTGCCAAAGAAGGATAGGACATTTTTTATGTATGCTACAACAGCAGCAAGAATCCTTCTAGCAAAGTATTGGAAGACACAAGATCTACCCACGTTGGAAGAATGGCAGACGAAGGTGATTGATTATATGGGACTGGCAGAGATGACTGGCAGAATCCGAGACCGGGGGAAAGAGGCGGTGGATGAAGACTGGAACAAATTTAAAGTTTATCTTAAAAACTGTTGTAATTTGGAAAATTAGAGGATCAGGGTAATAAGAGATAAAGAACTACAGTTGTTTTATTATCTTATGAAAATTAAATTTACGAAATAGAAATAAGTTTAATACGAAAGGGTTGCTACTAATCTTTTCTGTTGCCCAATATTTTGATTTCTGGGTTTAATTTCAGCTTCAAAGCAGGTTACAGCAGTCTTTGCACAATCCACACCATACAAAGAATCATGGGAACTGTAGTTTATTAAGGATGCTGGGAATTATGTGATGGGGAAACTACAGCTCCCAGTATTCAAAAGTAATATGAAGTAATGGGCTTTGAATGTGGGCTGGATGTGCTTTAAATGTAGGGAGGATCTTATTCATTTCATGAAATATGCTATCTCACAGTTTAGTAATCTGCTTTGGGTTTTCTGCTTCCAATCTATCATTTAAAAAGTATTTCTAAACCACTTAATATTTGCTTTATAAGGTTCTAATAATAATAATAATAATAATAATAATAATAATAATAATAATATTTTTTTCTGGTCTACATAAAGTTTAGAACAATAGAAGACTTCAACATTTTTCAGACCTGTTGTCCACTTTCACATAAATATGAATTATGGGCCCTAGCTTCTAACTTTACCATGTTAGTGTCTGATGGTAGTGCTGCTGGTGTCACCCCCAAGACACACACACCCTGGCTGTGACTCAGTCCAGTTCAACCTGCTAGTTGAAAACCAATAGTGTAGAATATTTGCTAGTGAGTGCAGGAATAGAAATGGCTCTGAGAAACCATAGAACTCTTTCCAGTAACCAGTTTTGCATTGGCATTTTCATATAGTTCTTCCACAGATTCATAGTTGCCAGAAGGAGTCTTTCCTATTTCTAAATAGTTTTGTGTTGACAGAAATAACTTTGCACGTGTGATTGTGTTTAACACGGAACAGGCATTTATTTATTATTTACTATTAAATAAGTAATCTGTATTGAAGTTGCTGATTATACAACAAGTGAAAGCAGAACTAGATTAACAAAAGGAGTTTGCAGGACCACAAACCAATTTCTACATTATAGAAAAATGGGGGAAACATGTCGTCAAACTATTCAGGCAATATTTTTCATAGGCAGGACCCAAGAAGGGAAAAAAGGGAGTCTTCAAGTAGTGACCAGTGAGTAGAGCTGGAAGGATCTGTCTATTTTCATTCTCCCAGTTTCTCATTTCCCCCCAATCTTAAACTCATTCTCCACATTTTGCAGCAATTTGCAATTTTTTAAAAAATCTCATGAAAATTCATCACCATTTTTGTGCTAATTTCTCTTAATAAAAACATGTTATATGTAGTTTTGACTAAAGTACACACTTTGGCAAACAATTTCCCCTTACATAGTGCATTTATGTTGGTTATTTTCATCACTGTCTTCATTTTTATACATACTTCCCCTGGTAAAAGCATTTTTTATACATCAGTTGGCTGGAGAACTGCATCACAAAATTCAGATAAGTGCACATTTCAAAGGATAGCTGTGTTTCAGTTTGCATATTATTCTGGGCAGTGTAAATTTGATAGATTCAGCTTTAAATGCATGTGTTTGTGGGATGGGGGTTATTGGTTTGCTTTTGTTTGTTCTTTATTATGCATTTTGCAATTTTATGTTGTGAACTGCCCTGTGATCTTCGGATGAAAGGCGGAATACAAATTTAATAAATAATAAACAATAATACAAAAATGAATTTCTCCTTCGTCCCTCCAAGTGAGATAAACCAAGCTACACAAAGACAACAGACAATGCAGTATTACGAGCACACAAGCCTAGAAACTAAACTATTAAGTTTCAAAGCTAACATGGGATACATTTTCAAAACAAGATGTTACACATTTTCTGCAGCTTCAGAACTTCACCGAACTATTGTAGAATAGCAAACATTCCTTTGACAGAAACAAGTCTCCTCTGCTAGAAAATCTCTTCTTGCAATGCAAGGACTCTCCGTGGAGGAAATGAGCTTTTGGGGAACTTCAATACGAAACATGCGGAAAACCTATTTATTAGAATTGGGTAAGAAATGTTCATAAAGAAAACAGACACACATTTACTAACTACCGGCAAACCAAATGGAGGTTTTTTTTAATTTTTATAGAAATAATACAAAAAAGAAGAACAGGATTACAAGTTCCCTTGTCACAACAGTCCCTCTGCCAAACCATTCCCAATACAACTACGCTCTTGGTCCATGCAACATGCAAACACAATATCAGAACAGAATATCCATTAAAAAAAGAACAAAAACAGAAAGAAGTCCAGTTATGTTGGTGCTAGAAACTGGGACAAATTCCCAGCAAATGAGGTGCTACCCTGATAAGGGGATTTGGAGTATTA